ATACAACACTCAGATTTTTAACACACACTTTATTTAATAATTACAGACGTTTCGAGACCATGGTATGCCTCATCTTCAGTGTAATTTCAAAACAGTTAATTATATACTTCATTCATTACTAACGTCTATTCAATATATATTCGAAATGATAATTGATTGTAATGGGCAACACTAGAATATGGAGAACACATGTGTCGCGTATGAACTTTTGGTATTCCCCGGACTAACTATAATAAAGCATTATTTGATCTCTAATAGTACGGGCGCTAGCAACGTTTTCGAGAAAGAATTTTAGTAAGCAGATTTTTTGTTATGTGGTCCTTGTCACTCTTTCGGGTAGAGTCTGAGTCAAAATCATGAAAAGTCAAGCGGTATAAGAAAACTATTACAAAAGCACATTATGTACTAGTACTAGTCCAAGTTAGTGTTAGTTTCAATAATAAAATGTTTATAAAACGTTTATAAAAGAGAATTGAAAATTCAATATATTTTCTATTTAAAATATTCTGATCATTGAATAAAAATTATGAAATTCGTTTTACATTTGAAGAATGTTTAACTCTTTACATTTGGCAAATAAGTTTCTCAGGCGTTGTAAATGGCAGACTGCTAGTCTTCAGATTGTTTTAAATGTGACTCAAGTAAACCTATTCAAAGTCAAAAAAAACTAGCTGTAAGTGGAATTCTGTCTTAAGGCAATTAAGGCATCGTGCCTAAGGCAAATTGCTGGAACTTCCCGTACCAAAAATTATTATTTTTTAAAAAACAATTAACATTTTTGAAAAAAAATTACTTCAAAAAAATTAGATTTTTGAGAAACTATAAATTTGGCAAAAAATTACTTTTAAAAAAATTTTTTTTTTTTGAAAACAATTTTTTTTTGAAAAGAAAAATGTTTTCTTCATTTTGACATATTTTGGAAATTCTGAAGGTTTTTTCAAAGCAATCGTACTGCTTTCACTGCATAAAGACGAAATATCAAAGCGCGTAAGCGCCGCATTGCCGTCTAACGCGTAAACATTGGTACGGAACCCATAGGAATGTAAACAAAATTTATACTTATTGTTAAAATCTCTATAAAATATCTAGTAATTTGATGTGCATATGTCTAATGATCATTTTTGACCGCCAAATGGCTCATTTTTTTACTTTTTCCTCTATATCTCCAACGTCGTTGGACCTGCCTTTCCAAAATTTTGAACAGTTCTTCATTTAGTCAATACAAATAAAATTTTTTTTGAATTATTCAAATCGGACGCTCCGTTCTCTTAAAAACTGAGTTACCGTTTTCGGCACTTTTTGCCCCGTATCTTCGGAACGGCTAGACCTACCTTTGCCAAAAACTAATCAGCACGTCTCCTTATCAATACGAATCGAATGTTTTTTAAATTATTCAAATCGGTTGATTCGTTTTCCCGAAATCGTCGACGAAAATTTGTATCCGCACATACATACACACATACACACACACACATACATCCATTTTTTCTAAGGTATGCCAAAATGTTCAGAAACCTTTGAAACGTAAATATATATAAAAATTTTCATTTTCGATTTTTTTGCAATTGCTATAACTTGCCCTACGGGAAGTTAAAAATTAAAATGGACTGACTAAAATTCTTTAAAAACTTTTGGAGTCGTTTGCTTTCAAAACGTTACCAGCGGTCTTACTATCAGCTTTGCCATGAATCATTTCGACATTTCAACGTTCGCTCTGCTTAAGTCATTTTGTACGTTAAAGTGATATTGTGAATAAAATTTAATTCTACGGTAAATTTTCAAATGTCTATAATAACTAAAGTGTTAATAATAAATATTAAATTGGATACAGAATGAATACCGGATTTCAAATCAATTATTTGATTGTTATTTTAGATATTATTTTGACTCCAGTTCAGTGTTTTTGACTTCTAGTTCAGTGTTCGGATTAGATATTTACTAATTCTAGGGAAGAAAATTTGACATTTAATAATAAAAAAACTAAAATTTATGAATGTGTTTGATTCTATATAATAAAAAAGCAACCTTAACACAAATACTGACCTATATATTAATCTATATTTGTAAACAATAAATCTATAGATCTAATTTCTTTATAAAGAATTACCTTCGACAAAAGATTTATACTAATAATAATCGCGTAACCCTTATTTCGTAGGTCATTTATTACTAAAAGAAAATGTCTGGTTTACAATCTTTTATGGAAAGGAATCCTGCAATTTACTATAAAGTGAATATACCAAGTGAAATTGAAAAATGCCGAAAAGCTACCAAAAAGACACCACTTATATTGATTGATGGAAGTTGCTCTAGGCGAATATTTGGAGAGACTGACCCAAAAAGAATTTTGACAGGAGGTCAATTCAAATTGTATAAGCAAAAGGCTGATAAATTTATCAATTTTCTTCAAAGTTTTGATGTGGAACTAGTTGCATTTTTTGATGGATGCAGGATAGATGATATGCGGGATAAATGGATAGCTCAAAGGAATGAGGATATCAATTCTGCTTATGAAATCTTGGACACTATAGAAAATGAAGGTTTGGAAAACGTTAAAGAAAACATGATTAGACGGATGTATAATATTGGTATGGTCATAAAGTCTTGCTTCCAAAGTAAATGCAAAGTTATTCAATCGACACTTGTAGAATGTGACTCAGAAATCATAACATATGCAAAAGAAAATAAGGCTCTGGCTGTATTTTCACAAGATGCCGATTTTGCAGTTGCACAAGCTGATTTTGCATACTGGTCTTATAAAGATCTGAATTATGAAGATCAAAGTACATATGTGTATGACGGCAGAAAGTTAGCTCAAAGTTTAGGTTTACAAGTGGAACAATTGCCTTTGCTACGAACAATGATTGGTAATTATATCTACTTTATTAATTTATATTTGAATAAGAAGAAGTATATTTTATTATAATATGATAATTATATTTAATTGATATTCTGACTTTGCTTTACATTAATGTTACTTGTTCTCAATTTTTCAGGTAATGATTATGTTCTAAACAACACTCTGCATATGTGGTTCAAGCAACTTAATATTCATCAACATCGTAATTCCAACTTCAATAAACATGATGTGATTTCAAAAGTTGCACTATACTTAAAGAACTTTGATAATTCTGTTGAAAGCTACAAGCGTTTAGCAACCCGAGCATTAGGCAGTCAGGACAAATTTCATGTAATAAAAATGTCTGTTGATTCCTATATGGGCATAAAGAGAGAAAAAGTTACTAGTTTGTCCAATGATATCAGATGGAACGATTTATTAATGCAAGTTGTTAATCTTGTACAAGATCCACATTCCAATTTGTCTCCCATGGTTTTTGACATATTATACAAACAAGTTTTTATGACAAATATGCTTTACGAAGATTTTAGAAAATATGATATTCCACCATCAGGCATTCTCTGGAGACCAGTAAGAGCTAAAATATATGGAATTCTACTACTAGACTTTTGTTCTACAAATGGCAAAAAGATTGTGAAAGAGTGGGTTTGCCACGGGGGAGATATATCCATACCTCATTTCGTTGAAGCAGTTGAACCAAGTTGCAGCCTAAGTAACTATAAACTACAAGATTTTTGGGCAGAAGATAAAGACGAGGACTTGATTAATATAGCTTGGAAATTATTTTGCAATGCGATGCATGAAGATCTTCCTGTGGAAGCAGTGCGAAGTATTAATGAAAAGATAATGGCAACAACTTTACTAGTGTTATTCATGCATGATGAATGTGAAATGACTCAGGATGAAATAGATGCTTTCCTGATGATGAGTGCATTGTGCAGCACAAAAGATGATGTTACTGAATACTCCGAAGCTTGGAGAGAGCAATTTAATACTCGATTGCTACGTTTATCTGCAGTGTTTTTAAAAGGTCTATCAACAATTTGGTTGTTTTTCAATAGCACATGCTTTTTAATACCAAAGGAAAGTATATCAGATTGGAACATCTTTGATGGAGCTCTGTTGCAATGCTTGTATAAATCGCCCTTAAGTGAAAACTCTGTTGATGATGAAACAAAGCAGTTATTCCAAAGCGCTAGAAATTTTATTGATAAGTACAGTTACATGTTTTAGTACTATATATATCGTTTAATCATCTGTTATAAGTCTTTTTACACATGCATAAATGCATTATATAAGTATAAAAATATTATACATTTTTGTTATGTAGCAAATTTGAATAAGAACCAAAACTGTTTTTCAAAATACGTTTTTTTTTTTCAATGTTTCGGAAATAAGTACCTTCCAATTTCAGAATTACTATAATGTATACAATATTGAATCGTAACTTTGCAATTAGCAAATATTAAAATGATATGAGTTGAAAACCTAAAATCATACACTTGCAGTTGATTGAATCGCTTTGTTCTACTCATTAAATTGTTATTTTATTCACTATTGTGATTTAAAAATTAAAATTTTTTAGCACGTTATTTTCAATATATAAGGGTTAATCAGTATTTGTGGCATTTATCATCACTTTGTTGGTTTTCTAAGTGGTGTTTATCATGTCATTGCTAAACACTAGGTTTTGGTATGTAACAGAATATGATAATGAAAAATTGAATTATATACCAATGACTGTAAACTATTCATAGGTGTTTAAGTTACTAATGCTAAGTTTTAACTAAATTGAAAAGTTCAGTTTATAGAAATTTCGAGAGCAGATGTAATGCGAATTTTCCTACGAACGAATTCAGAGAGAGTCGACATTTATGTCTCATGCAAAAACTATGTTTTGCATTTAGCATTATTTAAAATAGGTTGTATTAGAATATTCTTAATATTAGTCAAGAGATTCGGACGGAGTATGTATACATGCAAAGACAGCCATTTCAGAATAATTATATTACAACGATATAACTAAATTCACCTTCTTTCCTATTATTATCACGACAACATGAACTACAAAATTAAAAATTTTAGTTAAGAATACTAGTATTCTCAACTAGGTCTACAATAATAATGACCTTTTTCTTACCACACTTAAATTAACTTCGGCAGACCTGCAAGAAGATCCCACACCAGAGCAAAAACACGGCAGGCATCCATCTTCATGGCTCTCGCTTAACGCAAAAAACCCCGTTTTGCATGTATCACAATGAACTCCTTCGACATTCGGCTAAATAAAATAACAAAACAAAATCATATTAATAAAAAAGACATACTTTAAGTGTTTCATACAGAATTTTGCGTGGTTTAAGTGTGGTTTTTGAAATAATGTCAATTGTTATGAAAACAAAATTTTGCGAGGTATGGAATATTTGCCATAAATCCTACCTTTGGCATTATTGAATATAAGGTTTAATACTAAATTAGAGTTATAAAATATTTTGTAATTTTGTTACTGAAATATTATAATGAAATAAAAAGACTACACAATACATTGCGCACTACCACAGCTGATTCATATATATAATATATATATAACGGGGCTTAAAGGTCCGCGAGTAAAAAAAATACACCACCGATATTTCGAAAACAAATAAATAAAATGTTAAGAATTTTCAACGAAAACTTTGTTTCGAAAACAAATTAATAAAAAGTTAAGAATTTTCAACAATATATACAGAGGCGTAACTACCGCTGTATCAGCCGTATCAAAGATACGGGTCCCCGATCCAGGAGGGCCCCAAAAAAATGAATAATTTTAACGTAGTTTGCATTTCCTTTTGTTATCGATAGATATTGAACTACAACTTGTAAGAGAATTTATTTCTGCTGCAATATTTCTGCAAGCTCTAGCAATCAATTCAATTAGTAAAACTTTTGCACATCCGATAAGTTAATATTCTTGTATAGATATGGACAAGTCTATAAAACTAATCCAGTTTATACATTCTTCATCAAAAATTGGAATTTGGAATTTTTATAGTTATACTTATAAAATGTTTATATTTGTTTTTTTTTTACTATTTGAATTGTCTGCATGATGCGCAAGTTTAATAGTTATATTTTGATAAATATGATCAAGTAAATCATTTTCAGATTTCTTGCTTCACTGTTTCAAATTATTAGTTTTATTTCTGAAACTCTACAACATGCCAGTAATGACTTACAAAAAACTATAGTATATTATTATTTTTATTTTTTTTTTTATTTATTTTTTTAAATTTTTATTTTCAATAGCAATCAGAATACATGACTATTCTATGAGCTATTTGGCTTATGTCATTCACTCACACACATACACACACACTTGCAAACACACATATAAATTTATCGGATCAATATTACAATCATATTTAGAGAATCACTTCAATAAATGATTCAATTATTCTGTTCATATTATCTAAGGTTCCTAGTATATTATTAAGTAATCTTTTGAATAGACTATGAAAATTAAGATATAAAAATTTATTGAATTGTTTTTCAGAAGATAAGTCCAAATAATTTGCAAAAAAGATGGATTGCAATAACTATTTTAAATAACAAAAGACAAAAGATAATGAAGCGTTATTATGATAAGTTATCACAAGATGAGAGAATTTTAGACCCAAAATTTTATTTTAATATATACTATTGCTGTTTGCTAACCAAACAAAGACTTCAAAACCTTTGCGACTTAAGTAGTAACATTTGTCTTTTTGAAATCGAGAATTAATAAACGTTTCCGGAAAACTGTCGACTAAATTACTGTAAAGAAATACTGTCAAGATATCTTATATGATCATGACCAATTGATTGATAATTCAAGAAATAGGTTTGAATACGGAAATCAAAAAAATTTTTTTTATTAAAATACAATGATAGATGCAATAGGCTTGCATCGGTTTGGCCCTACCACTTACAATCGCAACTGTTTTAAAATGATATTTTCAAAATTAAAACTAATTAAAAATTACGTAAAAACTTTGGGACAGAAACGTCTATCGGACATGTATGTTGCTAGAGACAGAAACTTTATAAAATTTAAAGTCACTAAATAATTCAGTTTTTCAAAAAAAGGCAAGGAGAGTGAATAAATATATAATATTTGTGAAAATTCAGAAAATTAGAGAGAGTTAGATAAATAATTAGAATGATAAATATTTTTTTAATATTATTTTTATATTTTATGGAAAAAAAAATCTCTTGAGGGGGCCTCCAAACAAATTTGAATACGGAGCCCCGCCAAGGCACGTTACAACTATGAATATAATATGATTTTGATGTTGAGATATGTGAGATTCAGTCTTCAGGGCAATTAAAAACTTGTATGAACTTATAACATTTTTATTGTTTCCATACGTTTCGACACATTGTTTTGTGTCATCTTCAGTGGACTATATAATAGTAATTGTTCATAAATGCACAATAAAAACAATTCTATGGGCTATTGCCGCATCGGACAACGGCTTTGCGACATGTATTATACAATAAAAAATTCTTTCTAAAAATTTATATAATTGTTCCGATTTGAAGTGACAAGAATTGTTTTTATTGTGCATTTGTGAACAATTACTACTATGAAATAATTAGGATTACTACAATTACATAGTCCACTGAAGATGACACAAAACAATGTGTCAAAACGTATGGAAACAATAAAAATGTTATAAGTTCATACAAGTTATTAACTGATGTATTGCCCTGAAGACTGAATCTCATATATATATATATAAATATATATATATATATATATATATATATATATATATATATGTAAAATACATATATGGTGTTTTGGTGATTTAATTTTATTTAAAATTGTATAAATCACGTTTTAGCCTTGTTGTTTTAATAATAAGTAAATATTGCTATTAATTTTTGCCATATATCATAAATATAGGTTGTATTATATAAACTAGTTGGTTGGTTAGTTTTTAGAGTCTGTTATTGAGTTGTGATACCTTACACTGGCACTCCAGCTCGCATTCAGATCCAGGAAGCGATCCACGTGTATCGCAGGGGCATGGGCGACAATCCGCGCCGCGATGGCCAGGTTTGCAGCGGTCGCATCGTAAACCATCAAAGCCCGGCTTGCACTCACAAGCGCCAGGGTTTAATTCATCCAAATCGCAAATACCTTTTTGGGGAAAAATAATCAATTAATTACCTTATTTTTTATGTTAAGGAGCACAACTAGTGTAACCGCCTAAAAAAAGGTGATTTTTGGGAATTTATATTAAAAAAACTACTTTATCAATCATTTCAAAATTTTAGCAATATATTTATACATATTTTAAGAATACATAGTCAAATTTTTGAAGAAAAAAATTAAATATTTTTTAAATTATCGTCGATCTCCAACGGCGCGATAAAAAAAAGGTTCTTCATTGCTGCAGTGATTCCGGCTTTCTACGTGGATGAAATTTAAAAAAAAATCTCGTTAAACTAGATGATATTGCCTGTAAAATGAACAGCGATGAAGAAAAAAAATCAAATATTGACAAACGGCGTTTTAAAAAAAAAGTCTAATTTTACCCAAAATTTTGGTCGTTTTTGGACTGCCAAAATTCCATTTTTGATCCGATCAAAACATCGATAGTTCATTTTACGTAGAACTATATATAGAACATGTAAAAAAAAGTTGATAGTGATCGGATCATTTGTTTTTGAGTAATCGCTGCAGCAAATTCGGAAAATGCTGTTTTGAGAAAAACGCGTTTAAAGATTAAATGATCGTTATACTATGTACTATATATATACTCTTTAAATGACTGTAACTCAAAAACTATTTAAAATATCGATTTAAAATTTTGGTATGTTATTTTTATAACCTATCGAAATATGGAAAAATTGAAAATTCGATTTTTTGAAAATTTCACACTAGTTGTGCCCCTTAAGGCAAATCATATTAGTCAAAACTCTTAGAAATTAGAGTTAAGTGTGTATTCTGATCTAGAAGCATGAATTTTATGCAATTTTTGAAAGGCCGTAAAAAGAGAAAACAATGTTTTTACTATTTTTTACAAATTATATTTTACAAACTATTTACAAAAAATTTTGCACCTGACCATACTCATAATCTTAGCCCGCCTAATATTTTGAATATAAATAAATATATATATATATATATATATATATATATATATACACTTATTGTGATTACTATTATTCAATCATATAGCTTAGAAACTACGGACAATTTCTAGAAAAAATTTCAAAACTTGTTCGATATTCTTGAATTTTTCAACAATAGTAAAAATTTAAATTTGGTGACGAAGAAAAATCTACAAAAATAAAAAGTACTTATATCGGTTCAGTACAAGTTTATAAATCGTCGATATCGTATCGATAAAGACAGTTTTGAAAAAAACGCGTTTAAAGTTTCGCAGAGGAAAAAACAGAGATTGATTGTCCTGGTCAAACGGCTATCTCTCCGAAAGTAATTAAAATATTAAAAAATTCTGTTGCAGGCATATTCTTGAAAAGTTAAACTTTTGAAAATAATTGAAACTAGTGGAGTGCATGACATCGTGCCTTAAGGCAAACTGCTGTAACTTCCCGTACCGTAATTAAAAATCTTGGTACGGAACCCAAAAAAATTTACACAAAATGTGTACACATTATTAAAATCTCTATAAAACATCTGATAATTTGATGTGCTTATGTCCAATAAACATATTTGACCGCCAAATGACATTTTTTTAACTTATTTAATTGAGAGTCCATAACCGCTGGACGTGCCTTCCCAAAAATTGAATTAGTTTTTCATCTTGTCAATACAAAATGTTTTTTGAATTATTAAAATCGGACGCTCCGATCTCTTAAAAACTGAGTTACCGTTTTTGGCACTTTTTGCTCCATATCGTCGGAACGGCTAGACCTGCCTTTGCCAAAAACTAATCAGCACGTCTCCTTATCAATCGAACAAATCGAATGTTTTTTGAATTAATCAAATCGGTTGACTCGTGTTCCCGAAATCGTCGACAAAAATTTGCATCCGCGCACACACACACACATACATCCATTTTTTCTATGTATGTATGCGAAATTGTACAGAAACCTTTGAAGCGTAAAGATATATAAACATTTTCAATTTCGTTTTTTTGCAATTACTATAACTTATCATACGGGAAGTTAAAAAAAAAACAAAAACGAGATTTATAAAGTTTTTGTCCAGAATACTCCTTTAAGATATTTGAGGCATTCAATTATACTTTGATTTGATTTTTCATGTGCCACATATATAAAAGAATTGTTCTTTATGCTATTACAATGTTACATCATAACTTTTCACCTGTAGAACCTACTGCATCACAATCGCAAGGTAAGCATGGTAGAGCATCACTAGGCGCACGTCCCAGAGGTCTATAGAAACCAGTTAAACAACGCTCGCAGTTGATGCCCGTGGTGTTTTTCTAGAAGTGCAAATTTAAAAGATGTTATATTATCGGCAAATGCAAACATTCATTTGAAATAATGATTCAAAATAGATGGTTATGCATATATCTGCATGGCATGTATAGAACTATGCTAAGGTTTTATTGATTTATTATTTATCTTCATAATAGTTGCCAACAACGTTAGCAATGATCATTATTTCGCAATGTGTTGCGTTTCATCATATTATTAATACTATTTTATACCAAATTAAGTTAAGATGGCATTAAAAAATAGTATGTGGTAAGTATAAAAATTACTCTACTAACAATTTACTGAAAATCATCTTCACAGTAGATACAATGTGAAATGGATTATTGGGGACCAAAGTAAAGTGCCTTGGGCGCACTCACAAAGGGGCGCTAAAGTGATATAACAGATTGATCCAAAATGTATTTTAATTTTAGTATAAGTGTAATATTTATAACCATAATTCATAAATATAAAGAGAAAAGAGAGAAATTTGACTGTCATAATATTTACAAAAAAGTTGTACGCTAATTTTCAGATCTGTAGCACTTATCTATGAAATTTAAAGTAAACTTAAATATTTTGTTTAAAACGATCAACTTTAGTTATATAAGTATAAAATTGTTTTATCAAAATCAAAGCAAAAATTCTAATAATTATAATATTTAATAATCTAATTTTGTTTCTCCAACTAAAAGTCTAATGCAAAAATATGGAAACAGAACATTATAATTATATACAATTTTTCATGAATTCGTATAATTTTAGTATATCTTATATATAAAAATGGAGCTCTCAATCAAATGATTCGGTAAAACTCGAAAACGGCTAAACCGATTTGGTCAGTCTTAGTCTTGAAAAATTCGTGCCAATCCAGAGATGGTCGGAAAGGTGAGATATTATTTCAAAAAGCGTAGAAACTTTACATTTTTAATTTGAAAGTTGTTGTAGAAGCAATAAAACAATATTTTTGACAGATGATGTTCAATTGCGTTTAATAGGATGTTTTACGTGAATAATATTTAAGTAGTTTTGTTTAAAGTTTAGTTATATACAAAAACGTTAGTAAACGGGCCGCAAGTGTTACTAGAGACTTAAAATATAAACTTTTCTAAAATGTTAATATGAAAATGCACTTTTTGGCATATTTTTTTCAAACACGGTGCTCTGAAAGATCTCATTTGTATAATTATATACTCATTGGTATTTATAAAACATTTTCTAGGTTATATTATTTTTTATTTATGTTATTTAAATTCAGAACCTAAATTTGGTATCGATCAAATGGACATTTTGTCGAATAACATTTTTCCAGTTATAATTTTCCAGAATTTATCGAAGAATAGATAGTAATATATGAAGGTTCGGGGTTAAAAAGGTCCACCACCGATGTGTCAAAAATCAGTAAAGCTAAGCATTGTTCAACAACAATATTTGAAACTAGAGGAAAAAAGATGTATAACCAGCTATAACCTTGATTTGAAAACAGTAATCTTTGAAATGGAGGAGATAAACGGTAATCTTTAAAAATCCACAATAAAGGTATTTTCTTCCGTTGGTAGTTATTTAGCATTAGTTAAAAATGTAATTATTTTGTAAATAATAAATAAAAGTTTACATAAAAAGAACCAGTTAAGTAAATTTTGTTCTTGATTTTTATAGAAATTTATAGATTTATAGATATAAGGTTTTTCAGCCACAAGTCGAAAAAATAAAAACAGAACGTAAATATAAATCTTTTTTAATACGTTTCGAGCTATTGTGCTAGCTCATCATTCAGCTAAAATACACACAGAGTAATAAAATAAAGTAACAAAATAAAATAAAACAGAATTAAAATTATACAAACCAAACCAGTTTAAAATAATTTTATATAAAATTTGACAATTAAAATATCAATATTTTGTTCTAAAAACAAAATAAAACAAAAATTATTTTATTACTCTGTTTGTATTTTAGCTGAATGATGAGCTAGCACAATAGCTCGAAACGTATTAAAAAAGATTTATATTTACGTTCTGTTTATATTTTTTCGACTTGTGGCTGAAAAACCTTATCACAATATGTTTCAAAGTCGAAATAAACAATATCAAGATTTATAGAGTTATTAGATCTCAAAATGTTTAAATCTTAAAAGATTTCATTTTTCTTCAGCAAAAAAATTTAAATTTATTATTGTTAGTTGAGATTAACTATATATTGTACGAGCTAAATAGTTTTGAAGATTAAAAAAAAAATTACATAAAAGGAACAAGTTAAATACTCACCCCACAATCGACACATACGCCACCGCCTCTATATTTTCCATTAGTGTCGAGACTTCCCGACAGCATGTCGACTTGTTCGTCGTAGACGCAGGATGTAGCGTGACCGTGGCATTCGCATCGCTCGCAAGCGTTTGCCTTATTGGTGGTGCCTGGACGGTATGGTGTCTGGTTGTACATGGGACAACATTGGTCGCAGTTCGCGCCACAAGTATTGTGCATACATTCGCAAACTGGATGCTGCAAATGTATCAACAAATAATAGTAATTTAAATATACCTAGTACGATTATAAAGAAATGGGTTGATCAAAGCATTATTTTAATCCTCTCGATTATTTTATATTGTAGGGTAGAGCGGGGCTAGTTGAGCATAGGTGCAAGTTGAGCAATCGAAATATCTCGAAAACTATTCGCCGTCCATTTAGGCATTATATGGCGGAAAGATAGAGGTTTGGGAGAAATAAACATCCCCCGATCGCTAGTGGCCGCTAGACAAATGAGTGAGGCTCACGGGCGTTTTGTTTATTTTGAGACCAAAAAGTAAAAAAGTAAATCATCACGAGTTTTCGTCTGGTTTAGTCAAATGTTATTTATTTTTAATCAGGTAAATGTTATTCTTCCATATAATTATAGTACTTTTAATATGCATAGAGATTCTGGGTATAATTCTCACGGTTTTTTATAAACTCACTTTTATTTTGAAATTCCGGGTTGGGGTTAGTTGAGCATAGTTGCTAAACTTGTTCTATCACTAAGACAATTACCATTAACTTCCATAAATTAATTATTATTTTTAAGATTTAAGCTTAGTCTATGAGTAATAATGTAAAGAAATAATGATTTTAAACAAAAATACTGAATATAATCGTAAAATAATTCCTAAGATACGATATTGTTTTGTTGATTCTACTGTTGGTTAATTATTCAAACAAAATTACTATAAGTTTTGTTTTCTCTGTCAATAAAGACTATAAATATAGAACTGGATATTAAAAACTTGTTCCATTTCATCACTAATCGACATTGAACCTATGATTTCATTATACTTTCTTAGTGCTCAACTTGCCCCACCTATGGGGTACATTAAGCATACTTGACCTTTTGCATTTAAACAGCTGTAGCTTTTAAATTTTACTTATTACCAGAAAAAAGTATTAACACCTTTGTTAAGCGATAAACTACAAATCCATTAAGCCGTATAGCAATTTATTGAGACTTTTCATTGAAGAGCTACATCCGGTTAAGTAAAAATTTGCTCAACTAGCCCCGCCCTACCCTAATTATTTAAATACTAAATAGCCTAATTTCACATTTACTAAACGCATAAAACAATTTTGTAAGATAAACTTAATTATTAAAACATAAAAACACTAATTATGCAAATTTAGAAAAATTATTTTATTATTGAAAAATTTCGAATAAAAAATAAAAACCTAAAGATAATACGATAACGTTTCACTAACACGTTTTTATTGCCTCACAACAAAACAAAATATGATTATATTAGTTATTTCTAAGAATTTTTGGACCCACCCTGCTTCATGGTGATATTTAAAATTACTTCCCCTACCTCACGAAGCATCACGTGTATTTTTAGCACCTAGGAAAAAATGCAATTTTTTTAATTTATTTTTCATGAAAAATTTAGCTTTTTTTAAATTGAGGTAAAATAAATATACGTGGTATCGTATACTAGTCCCTACCCTCCCCCACATAATATTTTGTAATTTTTTTTTAAATCCTCACTCCCCCTTTAAGGCTCACGTGATTAATAGACGCACCCTTAAATTAACATTGCTTTTCCTAAGTTACAATACTATACATTATCATCAATCAAAAACCGATCGTCTCAAAATTTTCAAAAACCTTTGATAAGACGATGGAAATTTATTCACTCGATCCCAAATTGTAAAATACTTGAAGAAATAATTGCAGCTACACCAGATAGTTACAAATACAAATATTCAATTGTTTAATTAATTTGTGAATGTGAAAATAGTGTTTGTTTGATTTGATAATGTATTCAGATTATGTGGTTTAGATTAATGGGCCGATTCTGCCGTAAAATAAACTAATGTTATGGCAAGGCTATGATAAGTAGCTCTACGCTCGTACGTTCATGTAAAATAGTACTAAAAACTGTGAAATTCTATATGGTTGCTGTGCAGTTTAACACAGTTAAAAGTAATTTTATATGTATATAAAATTAAAACCAAAATAAAAAATAATGACTTGAATACAAACAACAAAACCATTTAATGATTAAACTATTATCAGTCACATTATTTTTATATAACTTGATTAGAATTTTGCAATATATAAGTAATAATTCTGAAAGATTTATAAAAAAACTGTTATTATATACACCCCCCCTCCCTCTCCCAGATTAGGATAACTAAAAATTGCCGTCCCGGTTTTGACTGAAAAATATGATCACCTTACTACAAAGTTATCAAAATAATGATTTTGATTGTTTTCATATATTGATAAAAAATTTAAGAATATCAAAATTTTAAAACTAATATTTAAAAAAAAAACAAGTTTTCTAATTTTTGATAAACCTAGAATTTTTAAACAAGATAACCGATATTAATTTCGAAAACAAAACTGCAATTAGTTTTATAGCAAGTCTAAAATTTTCTTTTGAATTTGCCAAATGTGACTCACTCCGGTAGTAACATCGTGTCGGCATCGACTGGCATGTCCTCCGCACACACATTGGCCACCAATATCGATTTCCCTTATGGAATAGTAATGTGTGTTGCCTTTTGGCCGCTCGCTTGCCCTTCTCAGCCATTTGCCGGCGGACAGCGTTCGCATCCTTTGGAACCTAAGACGAACGTATCTCGCCATCGCAAATTCTTCGGCAGTTGGCGAGGCGCCTTGAGGTTTGTCGCTTAGCAAGGACACATGAATCTGAAAAAGAATAAAACTAGCTGTAAGTGAAATTCTGTGTTAAGGCAATTAAGGCATCGTGCCTAACGCAAATTGCTGGAACTTCCCGTACCAAAAATTATTATTTTTTTAAAAACGATTAACATTTTTGAAAAAAAATTACTTCGTAAAAATAAGATTTTTGACAAACAATTAGACAAAAAATTACTTTTTTTTGAAAAAAAAATTTTTTTTTAATATTTTTTTTTTATTTTATTTTTTTGAAATGAAAATGTTTTCTTTATTTTGACATATTTTGAAAGATCTAAACTTTTTTTCAAAGAAATCGTACTGCTTTAACTGCATAAAGACGAAATATCAAACCGCGTTAGCGCCGCGTCGACGTCTAACGCGTAAACATTGGTACGGAACCCATAGGAATGTAAACCAAAATTATACTTATTGTTAAAATCTCTATAAAATATCTGATAATTTGATGTGCATATGTCTAATGATCATTTTTGACCGCCAAATGGCATTTTTTTTTACTTTTTTCATTAGATCTCCGAAACCGCTAGAACTGCCTTTACGAAAATTTGATAGGTTCTTCACCTTGTCAATACAAGTAAAATGTTTTTTGAATTAATAAAATCGGATGCTCCGTTCTCTTAAAAACTGAGTTTCCGTTTTCGGCACTTTTTGCCCCGTATCTTCGGAACGGCTAGACCTGACTTCGCCAAAAACTAATCAGCACGTCTCCTTATCAATACGAATCGAATGTTTTTTGAATTATTCAAATCGGTTGATCGGTGTTCCCGAAATCGTCGACGAAAATTTGTATCCGCACATACATACACACACGCACACACACACACACACACACACACACACACACACATACACACATACATCCATTTTTTCTAAGGTATGCCAAAATATTCAGAAACCTCTGAAACGTAAAGATATATAAAAATTTTCATTTTCGATTTTTTTGCGATTACTATAACTTGCCCTACGGGAAGTTAATTATGACTAATATTATTTAAACTTGTAAAATATTTAATTATCGCAATTGATAATAATTTAATATAAAAAACCTACTATCCGATTTGGTTTCGCACAAATAATAGAGACATGATGTATCTTTCTTTATATGTTAATAAAAGTTATATGTAAATTATAAATTTGTTCATTTTTGTTTGTTTTTGGTACAAAATGAACTACTTATACAATGTACAAAATTACATAGTACAATTTTGCAAGCACTACAGGGTGGTTCACTCGAGGGCAATAAAAAAGAAAATTGAAACCAGGCAAAGGTTACTGGATTTTATCTTCTAATCTAATTACTTCTAAAAACAGACCAAAAGATCCAACGGTAAAGAAAGGCATTTGTTGCAAAAGGTTGATTACGATGTATGACTTGTTTTCTTTGGGCTCATGGTTCATGTACAGATGTCCCAAAGAGAACCAAACAATTTATTTGTAAACTGTCTTTTTCAACATTTATATCTCAATATGTTCTTATCTAATATATTATTTTGTACGTACTATATGGACAAAACGGTTTTTGTATTTTATTGCATTTTTCCTTAACAAATATGTTATTTTAGTCCCTACTTGGTTAAAAGTCTATGTTACTGGTTGTCAATAAATCAATGATGAGTAATAATTAAAAAAAAAAAATATCATTAAAAATCCGTATTTGTCCGTATTTCCCCTACTGTTTTAAATTTTAGATCATTCACAGGTAAATTTTCCAAGTATTAAATCATTTGACATCATTTATATATTATAGCTCAAGATTTATGAATAATACAACTAAAAGTTTTGAATTGCAAAATTTGACGATAAAATTTTTACTCATGTTTTTCACAAAATACGCAATAAAATTAAACAAGTTGTTTCATCAGTTGAATAAAGATGCTGTATTAAAATGATAAAAATTAAAGTGTTCTCTTTGCATTCTTCCTTTAATAGTTATCTATAATTTTAACATCCTAAAAATATAATATAGACTATACAAGTATATTAAATGCTGTAAACGTGATGTAACAGCATTGCTAATTAAATATTTCGTTGGTCTTGAAATTTATTTTGTCATGAATATTCATTCTTTCTAAGTATTATTACTTTTTAAGAAAAACTTAAGCACGAAAATCAAAAATAAGCATGACTCGTTAAAGTTTATTCAACAATTAATCGCGCTATTCATACAGTACGGTTGCACAGATTTCGCGGAATGATAAATAAAATCGTTAACTTTATCCGAACATCAAATTCTTCGTTTGGTGTTCGTTTTTATTTTATTGCCAACATAATGTTTTATTAGGCTGCACATTCCAAAATGTGTTAGCCGTGTTCTCGACCCAATATTAAGCATATTTTTTAATTTATTTTTAACAATTTCATGCAAGTAGAACAAGCTCGGAAGCGCAATAATCGAGATCGAAGGACTTGTGATTACATACCATTAAACGAACGAAAACATCAGTAATTAAACATGATCGATTGGTGTAATTATTTTATTGCCAGATATTACGTTGTGATAACTATCTGAAAACTTCAATAAGCAATGAAATAAAAATCGCTTTTAATTTATCTACCGGTTTCAAATAATATGGTGATGATATTATGATTCTTTCCGCAGATTAATTAAAACGAATATATCACACCAAGAATCAATTTTTTTGTACATAAGGTAGGACGGAGTACAAAGGTCCAATATGACTTTCGGTAATTATACTGTTAAACTAAATGAACTACTTGATAAAGCATGACATTTATCAAACAAATAACTATCGAACTATGTTCGGTAAAATTCTAAGTTAATTCCTAATCGCGGAAGTAAGTTTTTTTACTATTTTTCTTAAATTTGTCATCTGTCCCACTTTACCCCATGGGCGGTGTAAGAAGAGAAATTCAAAAAAAAAACTTTTTTTAATTTTAGAGGATGGTGAAATAGAAGTTTTGAGGAAAAATTTTTTTTTACAAAGATTTCATTCTATATAACCTTGATTTGGTACTTCGAGAGAAATATTCATCAACAGAGGTTAGATAGCAATATACTTTATCTCTTAAAAAATTTGCTGTTTATTTACTATTTCTTACTGTTTACATCTTTTCCTTTATAATGGTTTAGTTGGTCCCTTTTATTCCTCCCGCATGTAAGTTATTATAGAGGTAATATAAAAAAAACTGTTGAATTTAACTTAAAAATAGCAACACATTTTACAAAACAATTAAATAACGTATACTGAGAAGAATATCTATTCAAGTCTCATAAACTAAACATAGAAGCTATGATACTACCAACAAAAAATAATATTTTTGGTATAAATATTGTAACATTTCCGTTTACATCTCTTGACAGTGACATCATAAAAATTAATGCTTTAATGATGCTTACCATTAAAAAAATATGTTTTTTACTTTTTTTTTGAGATGATGATTGTGGGCCTTTTTGCCCGCTGACCTTTGAGTCCCGCTCTACCCTACGTACTTCAAATAAATAAATGTTTTTAAATAAATTAGTTAAAATAATATTTAAGTGCTCTAAATAAAATGCTTATTATAACCAATTATAAAATGCCTATAAACAAATTCGTAAATTTTAATTTCATGCAATGTAATAGCTAAAAAGTGTCTAATTACCTCGCCATTCTCCAAAGGCTGAATTTTCGAATAATAAGCTGTACAGATGACTTCAGAATCAGCACGATGCCTTGGCTTACCAGGAGTCGCTTCCAAACCATATCTTCTCCAACATTCTTCATCTGAGCTGGCGAAGAATTGCCAAGGTGCGTATTCGATTCCATCCAAAGACCTTTCAAGAACCCAGGCTGCTGGTCGGGGAGAGTTGGCTGCACGAACAATAACATACGCTATTTGATATATCTGAAAAGCAGAAATGAAACCAATAAATTTATTTGAAGATAAGTCACCGTTATTAATTATGAAATTTAAAATTGATTTATTTTTAGAATTCAGTCTCTTGTTCTAGTTTTCCAATGAAAATATATGCAGGACCCGGCAGAAATAATGAATAAATTTCCAATAACTGTAAATAGACAATAGAATGAATTTCCAATATCTGGAAATAACGACATTAAACAAACGTTTGTAAAAAGGTTAAAATTTATGCTCTGATCTTTATCAGGATCGCAGAAAATCCATCGATTATTTCTGCCAGACTATATAACACTTTTCAAACGTGTAGGAAATATATTTCCTTCATCTTATTGTTAGTGATAACAATATTCACTATAAATGGTATTCACTATAAAAGTATGGTTCACAATGACTTAATTAAAATTTGAGGTATGTGATTTTTACTTCAGACGTATTGACAATTATGTCCCTTGAATTTTATATATATAAAACGTCATATAGAATATAAATTACTGCACTATACACATTCTTGGCAAGAAATTAATGTTCATCTTTGTTCGTTTTCTTGCGCATAATGACCACAATTATTTTATTAATAATTACAGCTGCGCGCATATTTTATATATAAAATTATGTTGGTGATGATATTTTTATTCTAAATACTATATAAATACATATTGTTTTGCAATTACTTCAAAGTTATGTTTAATGTTAAATTCAATTATTATGGTTATAAAAATTGAAAATATTATTATTATATATAATAAAAGTCAGTTATGATTGTTATTGCTAATTTTTAAATACAAAAACCCAATGTATCACAAATATTCTTCATCGTAATAGTTAATTGATTGAGAAATAGTGTTATCTACATTGTTAATGTAGTAGTTAGGACATTGATCGAATCCTAAAGTTACAATGTCTGTTACACTAAATATCTCTTAAATTTTATTACTACTCTTAAATTTTTTATCTTTAGGTTTCACATTATTTTAAATATCTTGATTTTTTTTCTTAAATTGCGCAAAGAGAGACATTTTTGACATTTGAAATATATCAAAAACCCAATAAGTTGAAATGAATGGAGATTATTATTTAAATGATTCAATTCGGTTGATTTTCTCAAAAACCTAAATCCAGTTTTTTTCACTTTTTTCATATATCTATTTATGCTTCACATCATCTGTATGAATAATTAAAATATTTAAATAAATAGGTACAATCGCTCTATTCTGTAAAAATTGTATTGTAACTCCAAAATGCATTTATGCTTAGAGTATACCAAATGATTACAGATCATTCGTTTCGGCTAAAGACCCTATCATTTATATAATAATAATTGAATTTATTTAAACATTTTTAATAATAAAATACTTTTTAAGCTGTTGCCTAAAATAAAGAATATTACTGCATATGGAATGGCAAAGATCATGTCATTTTTACACAATGCAAAATCGTACTAGACTATGTATTTCGCTATAAATATGTTAACAAAACTCATTAGCCAGAAGAATATGGAAACTACAGTGCTACTAATTATATATAATTCATAGTGTGAAACGTTTCTTTTGGTATCAAATTACATTGAATTTCAATTATACGCTGGAAATGTACAGAAACCAGTTCAAATGGAACCTGTGAGTCAAATATGGTTTTTAAACAGTTAAAGATATATATCTTCCGATCAAGAATTATAGATAAAAATATTATCGTTATATGAAGTATTTGAAATTATTGGTATCATTATTAAATTTGAATATATGCACGATTATTTCATTCATATTCAACTGAATTCAAATGCCTGTAGGTTGTAATTGACCTATTCTATTTAACATACAAATATTGTTAGTATTAGCATTTATAAAAATAAATTACTTAGAAAACAGTTAAATATCTAACGTGTATGTCGAGGGCTTTAAATTTATATTTTTGACGGAAAATATACAAATCTTAAAGAATAATTATAAAGCGATTATAATTCGGTCGTTCATTTTTCAGACTTTGTAATAACTTACGGGTTAAAAAATAGAGAAGACAAATTAAACATAATAAATATTATACACAAAAATTAGTAAAAAAACGTGTAAAATAAAGTTCAAATGTATGGTTCAATTATTAAAATTATAAATCATCATAACAAATGGTAAACAAGTTTAACCTTCAAATTAAAATTGTTAAGTATATTTGTGTGATTACTGTGAATTGAGGATGCTGAAATGAAACATTAGGACTTATTGTTAGTATAAAACTGTGCGACCAATAATTTTATAATTGCATAAAAAAATGAAGTAAAATGTTTCGTTTAATTTGAGGCATATAATAAATAAATAAATGGTTGTCAGTTCGAATGTAGCTCCATTGTGTGAGAGCACCAAAAATCAATAATTTCTTTGCCTCCCTTGTTTATTATTATCATTACCATTACCTAAAGTTATTCACTTTTAATACTTTTTTATTTTCTTTTTCAAACATCCAGCTTCCAGTATTTTCTCTTCTAGTGTAAACCATCAATAATCTGCATTTTTTTCTTCTCTGTTCTTTTGGTTCTTTTATTTTACCTTCGACAACGTCCTGTATGAGGAACTCTTTTTGAAGAATGGGTCCGATGCAGCTTCCTTTTTTTTTCAAGATCGTGCTCAGTAGAGTCCTTTCTTTGCCCACTATTTTCACGGTTTCTTTATTTTTCATCTTATCTGTTCACATTATCTTCACCATTAGTCTTCAGCACCACATTTTAAAACTCACCAGATAGTTTTTGTCGGCATTTCTTAGAGTCCATGTCTCTGTTCAGAACAGAGCACTTTATTGGCATCTTCCGTAAGTTGGTCTCAGTTTGTTTGTCAATATAAAGATGAAGACGCATGATATGTTAATGATGATTTAATTGTTTTCAAGATATTCTCTAAATAAGTTACTTAGATTTAAGTACAGCAAGTTAAATAAACTTATTAGATGAAAGAAAGTACAATTTGCATACCGTACTAAAATATTACTCAGTAAGTACATATATTTTTATTATATGATTATTTGATTCAAGTAAATGAAACCATACTCATTTATCTATAGACCTTTAGATATGAAAACTGACTACGTATCCGGATCGATTGATTTTATTCTATTGAATTAAAGAAGCGTCCAAAACATCACTGAGATCATTAGTGTTCCGCATAAATGTCTTCCAAATGAAATATAACCATTTCGCATTGTTAAAATGCGCTCCCGTTTATTGTCGCAATTGAAGGAGCGGCATTTGTTTTATGTTCCGGGACATTAATTAATCTCTTCAATGTATCAAGAGCATGTACAACTACGATATATTATAACTATGAACTTTATCTCTTAATCTCTACATTTCTATCTCATGATATTTATCATTTACTATAATATGACGTCAATAACTACAGAACATTTCAAATTATAAACAATTTAAAAAATTTTGCTAAATGTTTTGTCATTTTCATGATATAATATACTAATTGCTTACATATTAAATTTTAATTTGTAAGAAGGAAATTATCCAGAATGTTCTAATGTGAAAAAGTTTTATTGTTCATAGGGTAGACAGAATGTTCTTGAGTTAGATAGATAGATTTGTTCAGTTGAACAATAAAAAATGAGACAATCCTTTAAACATACAAATTCATTAAAACAATCGTTCTACACCGATCTGTAAATTATGCACATACGCACTCTTTCGCCCAAAATGCACTGTACTAAAACTTGCCAACACTAAAATTAATATGTAAAATTTCAGTGTGGAATTTTGATGTGCTTAACTTGGAGTTGGATACAAGCTTGCTACAATTAATACAAATAAAAGATATAGTTCATTCATATAAACATGTTACAAACTACACGATTTTCACTTAAATCGCTTCACAAGCTTCATTACATACCGGACAGTACCATCCTTGTATGTTACAAAGTTTTGTTACAACTAACCCAAGGTGTGATTTTTTCACATTAATCAAGATGACAAACTTGAATAAATTTTATTATAGTACAATTTTATATTGCCAGTCAAAAATTTCAGACCTGCACGCTTTTATATTGCGGAGTCCAGAAATACCATAAGACCATTTGGGATCCTATTGAAAAACGCCCGTTACTATCTACTTACAATAAGCCACTAGATTGCTGCTAATTGAGCTGTTTTTTACTACGTATTCTAATTTTAAATTAGAATTCAGAATTGCTAATAAATTAATTAATTAATAAATCCTATTGATTTGAAGAAAATAACAATTATATATTTGCATATGTTTGGATAGAATTATAGTATGATGTGTAGGTTCATAACCCATTCGTAATAATTATAAATAATATATAACGTTCAGAATATAAACTACGCAAAATGTAGTTAGTCATACACTACAACATTGTAAGTTCAAGATATCCTTGGGCAAGCTTTCGGGTGTTGATCAAATTCCTTTGCAGACCACAATACGCGAATAACCGAGTCATCTATTGTTAATACATTGTGTTGCACTCTGCAGTGACATTGAAAAAGCAAATATTATCTAAGAATTGCAGGTCAACCTGCGGAGCTTGTATTTAAGCTTGCAAATTTGTCGCTCAGTCGTTATTTAGTTTCCATAAAGTTGAGACCAGTATAAGTCTATTGGTCGTTCAGTTTAACACTTTAATCATACTCTGGTATTCAGTTATTTAAGTCAATTATGTATAAACGGTACCACAAGTAATGAAATAAAAAAAATATGTCCAGATATTTGCCTGTTTATACTGTTCAGTCTTCACAGACTGGTGACAGTTTTGTTGGTAGCAGAGAAAACCTACATATTGTTTGGCATCATCGGTGGGACCTACTACATGTTTTGGAGTGTCGTTGGTGGTTTTCCTGCATAAGAAATGTTACTGGATTATATGCGTTCAGTTTTTAAAATCAATAGGTACTATTCTTTGAAAAAGTAGCCACAGTACCGTTCCAATGTAATGATGTAGAATTTTTGTCAATAATCGTACACGATTTCTTGTCTTCTTATTTG